TGAGGTATATGTGATATTGAAGTGTATGTACATTTGGTACACCAGTCACAGTTCACTCGTTGAATAAGCATAGCAGTTAGTTCCGTCTGTTCGGCATCGCTGTGATGTATGCTTACTATGACTTATCTCCCAGTGCACGTGCCTGCACGCGCCAAGGCTCCCCCTGGCGGTAATCAGTGGCATCTGCGTCTAGAGGTAGGTAATCACGACTCAGTGTAAGATAATATCCCTGGGAAATACAAAAGAAAGTGTTTGTGGGTTTGTGTTTAGAAACATTCCCCCAGCTCGGACTCGAGCAATCTGACATGCACCGGTGTTCAAAGAATGCGGCCCCTTGCATCGACGCGCACGTGAGACGACACGCGTATCCAAGCGCACGGGAGACGGCACGCGCATGCACGCACAGACGGACTACCTGGTGGAATGTTGGGTTTGGTAATGTGTATCTGACCACAACACACAAAAAAGCCCTTGAACGTAAATAATAGCTGTTGACATTCTGCAGTTTACTATTCTCGTTACGCACGTGCCGTGACGTCATGATGCCAATTCGCGGTGTTATCAAAGGAAACGATTTATGGAAATTGACGTCACTGACGAAAAAAGTATATTTTTCTCCTACATGTGCATGTTATATAGCACAAACAAAGGTATTCTAATGAGCAGTTGTTTTGATTCCCATGCAGAAAATCAACGACAAGGTTAGTTAGCTTATAAAAGGAGATTGTAAAAGCGAGGTAATTTTAAAACATCTATTATCTCATCTCGACAGAAACAAGCTCAGCTTTCATTAATCGACAATAACTAGTGATCTTTTCCAGGGACGGGATCCCTGCGTAGTGCATGCTTTATTGTGAGTGAGTGAGGGAGTATTTAAAACATCTTCCAGGGATATCACAGCGGGGGACACAAGAAATGGGCTTCATACATTGTACCCATGTGGAGAATCGAACCCGGGTCTTCGGCGTGACGAGCAAACACTTTGACCACTAGACTACCCCACCACCCCTCATGCTTTTGAAATACAACCAACCACTCAATATCCGCCCGGAGAAAATGTCTTCACAAAACGATATCTCCAGTGATCTAACACCGTTTCATTAACATTAATTATTTTTTCAATCATTCATACTTTGAATGGGATGCGATGTCATAATTTGCGATGTCATAATTTGCGATGAGTCAAATACTTAAACTGGTCTCGACTGATACACGGCAAGTTGTAAATATTTGCTGAAAGTCATCATAACTGCTATTCACCCGCATGATATTCCGAGAAAAGTTCAATAATGTTGCGGTTCGCCCCGATTATGTTTCTAGGTTTGTCAGCACCATACCCGTGCTCGTGGGTTTCACCGAAGTGGTAAACGTCTAAGACCTGCATTACTTCGGGCTTTCCTTCCACATTAAGCTGACACGCCGTGATGTAACTTGAATACTGCTAAAAGCGGCGTTAAACCCAACTCACTCACTCATGTTGTATGCAACTGTCACCTCAAATCGGCAGAATAGAGGATCCATTCTGTACAAGTGTAATTACCTCATCTCAGTCATCATCGACTCCTGCGGCCAACATGAAGTCAATAAGCGAAACGTGACAGCGACCTGGACCTTGTGTAGTATTTATGAATGGATGTAGGTACAACAGATTCCCACGGCAGATTCTCAGGCTGACCATTCATTGACCACGTGGTTTGTGTTTCAACCAACGGGCTCGCGAGATAGAGAGAGAAAATACCCTGAAACGGAAGTGCTACACCGACCGGGAACCTGTCCCCAGATAGCGTATGCTTGACAATAGAGAACAAAATAAGGAAGAACGTGACCTCATCCTCAATGAGACCTGGGGTCGGCAGCTGGATGCAGGTCATACTCAGCCAAGATGGACATACTAACATGGACCAACACATGTCTATCGCTTGCTATTGATGATATGATTGAAATACATGTATATCCATTATTTGTTTTACAGAAGTCGAAATTAAATCAGCCGAACAGCGAAACTAATTTGTGATACCACTTCTGTTATCAAATTCAAATTAAATTTATCATTTTAATATTCAATCCGATTCCTCTAATTGAACATGCCATCTTTTCGTCAGCCCACAGACATATTTTGGATTTAATCTAGTAATTCCAGTTTTTTACACTACCCGATGAGACACTAAATTATCTTGAACAGATAAGTTTACATTGATGACATTAAACCAAGTAGAAAATAGCGCACATGTTTTTCAACACTAGAGCAGTAAATGGCTCCAAAATTGGTTAAAAGTTCTATTTTCCGTCATTTTTAGAGAGCATATTAATTTGCTGATATTTTTTAAAATTCGATATCATATTTCATGGACATAAATACAAAGTATACTAATCAGACTGTTTAGAAGATTTTTCATGAAAGAGATTAACAATAAATAACAAAAGACTGATTAGAAAATCTTTCATGAAACAATAAATAAAATCTATCATCAGATCAGTGCGCGTGGTGAACTTGACCAATGGGCGATAACCGTGTCACACAGACTGAAATGACACGGGCGGTACTGACCATGGATAGTATAACCTGCGGTGCTGACGTCGCAGTGATTACTGCTCAGAAGTTCAAGGACACCCGATTTATTCATATGGCTACAGTTACTGTCATCACGTGACTGTATTCATATGAAAATATCGGACGTTCTTCAATTATTTGGAGTCATATATATATGCGACACGACAGTCAAGTCCAACGGGGGCGTTAGGTAATGTGACGATTTGTCCTAAATTGCTACAATAAAAATATATCATTTTAAATTCTGATTGTAATTTTTTCATAAATTCCAATTCAGAAATACTTCAAAGACGGATTCCTGAAATTTGAGACCACATATCAAATGAACGCGTCAGTCTTACTATGTTTAAAGTAGAAAAAATACAGTTCTTTTTTAAAATATCCATCATAATGTTAACTAGTTAATGCTGAGAACCCCACAATAACGTGTTAATCACAATGTATTTGTGCATAAATGTCACCGACACCTGCATGGCGGTGAAAGAATCGTCACATTGTCAGCATCTGTACAATATTAAATACTATTTATATGGTATCTACCAAAATTGCCGCTATCTACACCATGTTGTTGCAAAACCCGCTACGGAGAATTCATCAAAAGCATACCTTTATCACGTAAACAATTCGGTATACCGCTTTAGGAATATTGGAGACAATATCACACCAAATGAACCTACTGTCCACTGAATTATTAATGTCTCAAAAGTTTCAATCTTTGTAAACAGTGTGATAATATCCCCTGTTGACCCCCGATATACTATTCAACACGACAGAGAGTACTTTTTACCTTCAGCCACTGTTTGGGGAGTTTAACGCGTTTAATTTCCAAATTTGGAAGATAACACCGGTTTCAGAATTGTTACCCCACGGAATAAAACAAAATATAGATAGCGTTTTATTACATTGAGAGTGAAATATTCAAGCGAATAATACCATATGAATTAGGCACGTAGATCAATGTTGTCGTGTACCTGCAGTGCGCATATACATACTTAGGACGACGTTATTGCCAGGGCTTTCTCACGCGGATACTCGGCTGCATATACCTGTCACCGCAGGCTGTCGCGCGCCACGCGCCATCAAAACAAAGTTGATCATAAAGTCACTTGTCCCCAGCCCATTACAATACCTGGCATCAGGTAAGAGGACACACGTGTTGGCGGAGCCGCGGTGTACGGCTTCAAACTTGCACGCTCAGGGCTGGCGGAGCGTCTGTGTGTGTAATGTATATATGATATAGTATGGAGTTCATGCGGTGCTTAAACAGATTTAACCGCGTTAAAGACCATCCTTAAGGTTCGCGCACGTTACGATATCCATGACACAGTTATCAGCTGGCTTAATTTATCCGTGCAAGCGATAGGATGGAATCTGGGATTTTATTTCAATTTATAATATATTGAATGAATTAATTCTCGAAAATCTACCCAACCTAATATCATATTTAATATGTTCTTCCATAACTTACAAACAAATGAAAGCTTGTCATGTCTTGTACTTACACGAGACGGCTAATAAATTCAAATATACCATCCATTCGACCGTTTCGGCTGAAGATATTTTCTGTTAAGACCTTGACGTTTCCCGAATGTAAAACTTATTTACAATAAATACAAATAAATAATCATACAACATATTAAGCTGACACTTGAATGAATACTAAATGGTTTCTTAAAGTGCACAGCACAAGCTACAATTGATTTGATTGTGAATAATGTCGAGGGCTGCTTGACAGCGTTGACGCGCACGTGGCTGGGGACAAGGGTAAGCCTGCTCCCCACACCTCACACTTCGATCATCAAATGATATACTGATATTCAATATCGGAGGATTGGGATCGCCGAATATTTCTTCACAATGAATTCTATAGACACGGATAGCTTATGCGACCTTTAAATACCTGCGGTCATAAAGACGAATTCTCCCCTAGAGTTATCAATGAGGCCGAGCCTCGGGAGCTGGAATACTTTGGTGTAAATGCATTGTAAGCTGCATACTTTGTTCAAACATATAATTGATTCAAAATTTACACAGTGAACCAGGAAATTCGAATATACATGAATACCTATATAACATTGGTATGCCTTCTACTCGCAGGGAATGACAAGATAGAAGGTTCTGTGGTATACCCACGTGCAGGGTAAATACATGTCTCCACTCTCGAATGTGCACATTGCGAGGCTTCCCCGAGGTAAACCAAATAAATAGGCCAGTATATAGGCCAATGGTGACGTAATAACATTGAACCTAAGAGAGAAAAGTTGGCATGAGAGGCGAATACTCAAGAACAACCACCTTCTGCGATACACGCTCCGCTGCCAAGAACATCACACCTTTCTACAAGAAACACATTGTTATAGCTTTACGTAGTCATTCTAGTCGTGAGCCACGTTCGTGCAACAGAGTACATGGAAATAAAAGTGAAATAAAATATAATATGGGTACTCACGGTCCAAGCAAAGTTAAAGGGTAATTCCAGAGTGTTGCCGGTTCCCTCCGGGAGGGTGAAGGAATTTCCGTGGTGGACAAGGCTTGACACATTCCCGAACGTACAAGTCCCGTCGGGTGTCACCCGAGATTGGTATTCCTTGAGACAGGCTCGGAACTGGGTCTTACAAGGGGTGCTGCACACCCCCTCCTTCCCCCTACCCCCGGAACAACACACCCCGCTGGCGAGCTCCCCCCGGGGGTTGTTGACAGAGAGGACACCCAGCTCGAACACCCCCGACCCCGAACACACTTGCATCACGACAACAACGACGACAGTGCAACAGTGGAGGCAAAACATAGTTTAAAGGCCAAGTCTGCAATAGTCGTTGTAGACGTTCGGGTTTACTATGCTTTTCAAAGCATACCTGTTCCAGCCCTTGAGATAGTACACAAGTCGGCCCCACTCTTGTGCTCGCATACATTCCTACCCTGAAACGCGTTTCAAATATCACTTTTCACCCATCTTCACAAAGCGGCAAAAATAATTCACCGCTGCTGAAAAGAATGCAAAATGACATCCCCTCAGGTAGTCAGCAAGTATCGGAAACTTGTACAAAAAGTGTTTCCACTACCTAATGGTGTGGGAAAGTATAGCGACCGACAGATGCTAGTATTTTTAGTCAGTTGCACTGTGCGCATGCTCGGTCGTTCAATTAAAGGGGCTGGCACTCGCTGTGTTCAATCGCGTTATTGCACGAGCTGAGCAGCCGCTAGCGGAGGGAGGGAAAGGGAAGCGTCCGGTAACCAGTGGTCAGTGATGAGCTCTGTTGAGGGGTAACTGTCCAACGCCGGCAGGGGGACTTGACAAACTTACAATGCACTTTGTAAACTTGAAACAAGTTGAAGATTGTTGTTGGGAGCCGTGGATGTGTTATGGACTGGAAGCGTGAGGCGGCGTGCTTATCGACGAAGAGCTGCTTGAAACTTGATCAAGGCTGCTGCAGCAGATACTGTACGTGTTGTCAGCACGCGACACGTGCTTCTCACGCGCCAGCACGTGCTGGTGGAATACCGCAACATAGCAACGGTATGTGTCGTCCCTAGAGACGAAGTCAGGCGACAAGAGACAGGACGTATTCACTTGCTACCCACAAACTCAGCGCCATACCTACCTATGTACAAACGTTATACAGGAATAACTTGTAACAACAAAATTACCAAAAATATATTCGCTCGTTATTCACTTTAATATTCTTCTTTGAAGATGAAATGTCGCACCGTGTGTATGAGTTAATTAGCAACCTTACAGCTATCATAACAAAATAATTTACAAGTTCGAAATGCAAAAAAATGCGAAACACCATATAATCACAGACAGCATATACCTGTCTTTCTGTAACCATTTATACTGAAAAATTGAAATAAGTATGTGAATATATGTTGCTACTGTACATTAAGATTTACAACTTTTTGTCAAATTTGTATCCTACTACAAAAGGTTAATATTTGTAGAATAGTTTCGTTTTGTTGTCATGGTGACCGTGGCGTCAAGGTTAGTTTACGATCCGCTGCGCCCTGGGTTTTTTTGCAAAACAATATATATGACCTTATTTCATTTCCCAAAATCTCATTACCAAATATTTCCCTCGCAGCTGTGTCAGACATTAGTGCATGTAATATGTAAATAACAACATGACACCGATGTTGGCACGGTGTTTCTGATGTGCCAACGATTCACAAATTCATTTACGACAACGACAACAATATATGATGTAGTCCAGGTGGGAGCGAGCGTCAGCCCAAGGTCACGTGATCCAGGTGATGGCAAGGGACCGTGGGAACGCTGCCGTGAGGGAGAGAGATTGTCTGCCGCCGCTGTGTTCGCGGGGAGCGGGGCTCGTGCCGGGGCCGACTTTATCATGTACATGTCAACGTCTCTCACCCCCTCGCATGTGCGACTGCACGGGCCCGGGATCCGCTTGGACGGATGGAATCACCAGACCTGTTTCCCGCGAGGTACCTGGAGTGTACCCGGGCAGGCTCCCCAACCCCCTTCACGGACACGCGTTACGCAATGTGCAGTTTGGTGTTCTGTTAAAGTCTTGGGATTTCAACCTTTATTAATACCGATGTTTTTTTATATGTTACGCGTTGTCACGCACAAATCCACACACAACACACACATACATTACACATGACACACAAACCTCCACACACAACACACACATTACAGACAAACCTCCACACACAACACATAGCATTAGACATTACACTCAAACCACCTAACATAGCATTACACATCATACGCACATCACGCAAAACACGTCATGCACAAGAGTGCGGCGTTAAACAACACTGCATACAAACCATCACACCCATACTGTCACACATCACACACTCAACATCACACACACGACACCATACATCAGATATCACACACACATATCACACATCTCAATCACACACATATCACACACATTAAACAGACGACATCACACACACACCAGATATCACACACAACACACATTAAACACTACATCACACACACATACCACACCACACATCACACATACGACATCACACATCACACACATCACCAGACATAACACACAGCACATATGACACCACAAATCACACACACGACACCACACATACATCACACATCACACACACGACACCACAAATCACACACACGACATCACACACACACGACATCACACAATGTCACACACACAACATCACACATACGACACCACACGCAGCACTGGCGCACACGACATCACACATGACACGCAGCATACACGCAGCACGGCATCCCAGCACGGGTCAGAAACATCACACATCACTCACTACACCTCACACAACAACTCTATAACTTACCATAACAAAACACCACACCTCACGTCACCACTCAACCTTCAGCTTTCACATGCTGGTACACGGAGACATGGCTTTGAATACACAGGGACTACTATTAACACTCACCCATTCGCACATTGCAATATTGCTGACTGCTGATTTGTGATATAAATGTAGTATTGCTGACTGCTGATTTGTGATATAAATGTAGTATTGCTGACTGCTGATTTGTGATACAAATGTAGTATTGCCGACTGCTGATTTGTGATATAAATGTAGTATTGCCGACTGCTGATTTGTGATATAAATGTAGTATTGCTGACTACAGAGTATCGTAATGTCAAAGTATTATTGTTGATTACAGGGAATCGTGATAGATGTCATATTGCTGACTACAGTATATCGTGTGCTATATGTGTCATATTGCTGGTTACAGCGAATCGTGTGATATATGTTATTTTGCTGGTTACACTGAATCGTGTGATATATGTGGCATATTGCTGGTTACAGGGAATCGTGTGATATATGTCATATTGCTGGTTACAGGGAATCGTGTGATATATGTCATGTTGCTGGTTACAGGGAATCGTGTGATATATGTCATGTTGCTGGTTACAGGGAATCGTGTGATATATGTCATATTGCTGGTTACAGGGAATCGTGTGATATATGTCATATTGCTGGTTACAGGGAATCGTGTGATATATGTCATATTGCTGGTTACAGGGAATCGTGTGATATATGTCATATTGCTGGTTACAGGGAATCGTGTGATATATGTCATATTGCTGGTTACAGGGAATCGTGTGATATATGTCATGTTGCTGGTTACAGGGAATCGTGTGATATATGTCATATTGCTGGTTACAGGGAATCGTGTGATATATGTCATATTGCTGGTTTCAGGGAATCGTGTGATATATGTCATGTTGCTGGTTACAGGGAATCGTGTGATATATGTCATATTGCTGGTTACAGGGAATCGTGTGATATATGTCATATTGCTGGTTACAGGGAATCGTGTGATATATGTCATATTGCTGGTTACAGCGAATCGCGATATATGTCATATTGCTGGTTTCAACGAATCGTGTGATATATGTCATATTGCTGGTTACAGTATATCGTGTTATATATGTGTCATATTGCTGGTTACATGGAATCGCGATATATGTCATATTACTGGCTACAATAAAAACTCACTTACAAAATACCCCATAATAAATGTATAGGCTTGTTGCTAGTTTGCGGTATGCAGTATTATGGCAAGTCTCTAATGTACTGGTTTTGATCGTATGTATAGAGTGACACTGAAATAATTTTTGATTCATGAATTACAACCAAACAGCCCCTCGCACGGGTCAGCAGTGTTGGGAGCAGAGGCACGCGCAACATGGCGATCTGTGTCAACACACGTGACTGTCAGAAAGCGAGAACGTTTGTACAAATCAGTTGATGAGTCGTCGTTTACTGAGTTCGCATTTCCGCTTGTTGTTAGAGAAGATCTGATTCAATGCCGTTTTGACAGCAGCTGTGCCGATTGACCAGGCGACAGAAAGTGATGATATTAACTTGTATCCTTATTAAGGCCGAAGTGGCCAAATATTGATGTCCACAATGAAATTACCGACGCCTAATACGGCCAAGCCCGGCACGGGCGGCCTCTATCGTCTGACAGCAATTCAATATCACAGGCGCTTTAAAGACGGGTATCTGATCTTTTCAAAAAGCGTCACTTTGAATATCGACTCCATTTTGAATAACTCGATTATACATTTACCATATTATCATATGTACTGAGATGTCAGGTTCGGAATTTGAAAATGTGTATACGGAGAAGTTATGAAAAAGCAATATTATGAGATATTTAATTAAGAACGTTCTCTTTGCAGCTGTCTGTGCCGATGACCCCACAGACTAAACCACTGGCACCAGAAGGGGTTAGTCCGCCTGTAATTTGAAGCTTGGAGATGGAACAAGTTGATGGAGACGAATGCAGCATAGTAATACGTGGTCCTAACAATCGGGAACAGAGTTGAATGATGAATTGTCCTTGGTTATTATGAAGAGAGGGAGCTAGCTCAGTTTTAACTTTCAGTTGCATATCAGTCACCCGGCTCCCAGCTCTGAACATGTGCTTCTTTTCACCATTCATGGATCGCATGAAACATTACCATCAAAAAGTTATATGCATTTATCTAGAAGAATAATATGTGTCCTTGTGTCCATTGCTATTCTTGGGGTAAATGTACCAGTGTCATTGTGTCTTTGTGTCTTTGTGTCCATTGTTATTCTTGGGGTAAATATACCAATGTCTTTTTGTCCATTGTTATTCTTGGGGTAAATACGCTATACAAGTGTCTTAGTGTCCATTGTAATTCTTGGGTTAAATACGCTATACCAGTGTCTTTGTGTCCATTGTAATTCTTGGGTTAAATACGCTATACCAGTGTCTTTGTGTCCATTGTAATTCTTGGGGTAAATATACCAGTGTCTTAGTGTCCATTGTAATTCTTGGGGTAAATATACCAGTGTCTTAGTGTCCATTGTTATTCTTGGGGTAAATATACCAGTGTCTTTGTGTCCATTGTTATTCTTGGGTTAAATACGCTATACCAGTGTCATAGTGTCCATTGTAATTCTTGGGTTAAATACGCTATACCAGTGTCTTTTTGTCCATTGTAATTCTTGGGTTAAATACGCTATACCAGTGTCTTAGTGTCTATTGTAATTCTTGGGTTAAATACGCTATACCAGTGTCTTAGTGTCTATGATAATTCTTGGGGTAAATATACCAGTGTCTTTTTGTCCATTGTAATTCTTGGGTTAAATACGCTATACCAGTGTCTTAGTGTCCATTGTAATTCTTGGAGTAAATATACCAGTGTCTTTGTGTCTATGATAACTATTGGGGTAAATATACCAGTGTCTTAGTGTCCATTGTAATTCTTGGGTTAAATACGCTATACCAGTGTCTTAGTGTCCATTGCAATTTTGGGTTGAATACGCTATACCAGTGTCTTAGTGTCTATGATAATTCTTGGGGTAAATATACCAGTGTCTTTGTGTCGATTGTTATTCTTGGGTTAAATACGCCACACCAGTGTCTTTAAAAAATATAACCAGTTCCCCTTATGCCCAGCCGCTCTTGGATTCTTGGAGTAGATACGGACGCAATAAATATGTGCTTCTCGTCAAAGGAGAACGGATGGTTGACGTAGCCAAACAGGAGACAAGCCTGTACTTGGGTTCTTGGACTCTAATGTTACAAACTCCATCCTTTGAAACCTTCCCGAGCCGCATATGTACCTACAACGTGATACGACAACACTACTTTCTGAAAATATTAATTTATAACAACTCAGTGCTGAACCGGATCTAATTCAGGATGCTAGGAGTGAGATTAATATCATTGCACACTACTTGCATTCAAATTGCGTTGTCAGTGATCCTCTCCGCCCTCGGCTCAAATGACCCAAGCAGGCGACATCTGCACATGCAGCATCACAATAGAGCGCGTGCTATTCAAACATCCTTGTCATTGGATCCTGCCTGGTGATGACGTCACCCATGTCGCGATCGTCTGCTCTGTGCACGAGAGGAAAACTGCGTGTAATTAATGTTCATAAAACACGTCTGCTGTCTGATTGATGACACGGAGATCCACACACACGGAACTCTTTCATTACGATCAGCTCGCCCCAGTATCATAATTCAATAAATGACAATGTTTGATCAAACACGATTCGATTAATTAACTCTTATTAATGTTTTATCAAGCCGATGCTCAATTAGGGTCAAATACAGTCCTTGGAGATTTACAGGATTCTAAAACGTTCACTTTAACTAGCTACTCGCGTGTCGAGTCCCAGACATTGACGCCATAGCGTTTTCTCACAGGTGGGAAGATATTTTTACCACAAATATTTCAACATGCATTTTTTCCATTCGAATTGCAATACCTGTGTGATTGAATGGTAACCGTTACAGCCTACTTCTCCGGCCTGATTCGGCTGGTGTCGGGCGTAGTGCCAGGGTGAGCCAGTGCCACTTTGTCTCTACTCCTCATGCTTGTTTTAGGGGTGCAGTGGTGTTAGGCGCTGGAATTCAGAGTTACTTCCCTTTGGCGTGACAGGACCTTATGACCGTGAGGTCGTCCTGGTTATGAACCTTCGTTTGTCAGCATCATAGCCATGTTTGTGGGTTCTATAAAAGCGATTAACGTCTAGGACCTGCCTTACCTCGAACTTATTGTATTTATATAGCAACGCGTGCGTGTGTCCGCGTCCGGCCAATCAGTCCCTAAATTATCCCCTTAATGCCGAGCGCCAGGCAGGGTAACAGTCCCATCTTTTAACATCTTCTGGTATGACGCAGTCGGGAATCGAACCGCCAACTTTCCGCTCTCCGGGCAGAGGCCCTATCCACTCGACAACGCACGCGGCCCCCAACTCAGTACCTCAGTCGCTAATGTTGCACTTTTCATATTAAGACCTCTCAGAACACGTTCCGTGGATACAAGACCACTTGGTTACTGGCCCCGAATACACGAGAATGAAGTTTCATAAAAAGAAATGATTCACCTGTATGCACTGCTGTATTTAAGCAGTGATACACGATGCGGCTCATTTAGTATCGATACATGTCGTTAAATACGTTAAATATTTGACATCAGATAGTATTTTATGTCTTAATCCGATGAAGTCTCTCTGATTGTTCTGGTGTTGTCATAGAAACACATGCTTTCTTTTCCTCTGTTAAGTTCCATTGGAGATTTTTATCGAAAAGAATAAATTGTGTATAATAATGCGCAGTTGGTTATATCGTGTACAAATTATTTGGAAACGTATCGCATCGTGACCTAACAGAACTTCTGAACTGAATTAGAAAGTTAGTGATTGTGGTTTACGCTGCATTAACACTGCTCCAGCGATATCATGGCGGGCGTCAAATGTAGTTCATACACTGTATCCATGTGGGATTCGAACCTGGGTTTTTGGATTAATGAGCCAACGCCGGCTCAGGCAAATCGTTGATTTGACACACCATCGGGGTACGATGACTCACACTCAACAAGTCACCGAACCTGACAACTCGATACATTTAGTCGCCTCTTACGACAATCTCATATGATATAGAGTTCTATTCTACCCTGGGACCTACAACGGAATGCCGGGCGGTGGGGTAGCCCAGTGGTTAAAGCGTTCGCTCGTCACGCCGAAGACCCGGGTTCGATTCCCCACATTGCTGGAATATTGCTAAACGTGGCGTAAAACCATACTCACTAACTCAAACTGGATGCTTAGCAACAGTGTTCTTTTAGTTCATAGTAGGCTGACGATCATTCTCTTTCAGGCTGTCGGCATCCACAATTAAAATGCGTCTCCATACACAGCGTTTTTCCTGGAAACATAGGGCGTCTAAAAGAATTAATTGTTTGATAGGCATTACTTAGAAGTTGACGGAAGACAAAGTAGACACAATTTATGGATACCACCTTTTTAATACTGTAAAGGCGACGTTTGGGTGTAGATCCTTATACCGTTGTCAAGCAAGACCGTTGTCAAGCAAGACCGTTGGCAAGCAAGACCGTTGTCAAGCAAGACCGTTGGCAAGCAAGACCGTTGGCAAGCAAGACCGTTGGCAATGGTATAAGGATCTACACCGAAACGTCGCCTTTACAGTTTTAAAGAAGTTGTTATCCATAATTTGTGTCTACTTTGTCTAAAAGAATCGTTGTGTCACGTATTTTACTCTAAAGCTTTCTTGGAAGCTGCCCACCGCCGTGTTTTGTTTTTTAAGCCTCAAGAAATGGAATCATCCGGATATATGTCAAAGGTCAAGGTCGGTATGGAGTTCATACACACACAACTGGCTGTTTATACGAAACTAGAAAAAGTTGACTGCAGGCTGGAGACACTTGGTACAGATCACTCTCAGGGTGGGGTCTATGTTTGATGAGGGGTTCAGGGACATTTGTTGTAGGTCAAGGTCACTATACCCTTCCCAGGGGTGTGTGTAGGACATGGAGGTTATGTATGTGTTGATATGTGATTGGGTCATACGAATATCCGGTCACCGTGACCTACTTTGTATGAGTGAGTGATTGAGTTGGGTTTAACGCCACTTTTAAGAGTATTCCAGTTATATCACAGCGTGTCAACTTAATGTTAGAGAAAAGCCCGAAGTGATGCACGTCTTGACTTTTTATTGGTTTGGTAGTCTGCTGTTAAACGCCGCACTCACAAACATTCCAGATATATGACGGGGGTCTGTAAATAATCGAATTAGACCAATGCAGGGATTGACATCCACGCAATTGGGATACGATGACATGCGCCAACCAAGTCAGGGAGTCTGACCACCCGATCCCATTAGTCGCCTCTTATGACAAGCACAGTCGCCTTTTACGTCTAGCATGGGTTGCTAAAGACCCATTCTACCCCGGATCTTCACGAGTGGACGTTTTTATTGAATATGCAAGGAAGAAATATTATTATTTATGTCATGTTATGTTAATCCTAAGTATTCAAAATGATTGAAAATTGAATGTTTAAACATGGCTTCCTCAAGCAAAGACCCTGGCGTTAGCAGTGACCAAGGTCACAAGGAAGGTCTTACGCAACGCGAAGCCCCTTTTATAGCACGAGTTGGAGCTTAACGCTGCATCAAACAGTATTTCACGGCTTGTCAGTTGAATGTTTGAGGACAAGCCAGAAATGTTCCTGGTCATAGTCGTTAACCACTTTAGTAATACTAATGATGATAATAATAATTATCCGCTTGTAAAGTGCATAGCGCCGAACGGAATGTATGCCTGAAGCGTTGCATTATCATTTCCCCGGTCAGTTGATCGGCGTGCACTCGAGTTTTCATTCTCCGCTCCCTCGGGTGTACAACCAAACACATTACCATCTCGTCCTACCTGGTACCCATTCACTGCCGGGTGATTGTCCTGTGGTATCTGAAGCGGGGTCTGCAATGGTCTTTTTTAGCTGGAGCGTATCCAGCAATGGTCTTTTTAAGCTGGAGCATGTCCTACAGTGGTCTTTTTCAGATAAAGCGAAGTCAAAGTGGTCTTTTTTAGCTGGAGCATTATCTGCCGGTTTTTTTAATCTGAAGCGTGTTCCACAATGGCCTTTTTTTATTTGAAGCATATCCCGCAGTGGTCTGTTTCAGCTGAAGCGTTTCCGGCTGTCGTCTTTTTCAGCTGAAGCGTACCCCGCAGTGGTCTTTTTCAGCTGAGGCGTATCACGCAGTGGTCTTTTTCAGATAAAGCGTACCCCGCAGTGGTCTTTTTCAGCTGAGGCGTATCCCGCAGTGGTCTTTTTCAGCTGAAGCGTATCCCGCAGTGGTCTTTTTCAACTGAAGCGTATCCCGCAGTGGTCTTTTTCAGCTGAAGCGTATCCCGCTGTGGTCTTTTTCAGCTGAAGCGTATCCCGCAGTGGTCTTTTTCAGCTGAAGCGTATCACGCAGTGGTCTTTTTCAGCTGAAGCGTATCCCGCAGTGGTCTTTTTCAGCTGAAGCGTATCCCGCAGTGGTCTTTTTCAGCTGAGGCGTATCACGCAGTGGTCTTTTTCAACTGAAGCGTATCCCGCAATGGTCTTTTTCAACTGAAGCGTATCCCGCTGTGGTCTTTTTCAACTGAAGCGTATCCCGCAGTGGTCATTTTCAGCCGAAGCGTATGCCGCAGTGGTCATTTTCAGCCGAAGCGTATCCCGCAGAGGTCTTTTTCAGCCGAAGCGTATCCCGCAGTGGTCTTTTTCAGCCGAAGCGTATCCCGCAGTGGTCTTTTTCAGCTGAAGCGTATCCGCAGTGGTCTTTTTCAGCTGAAGCGTATCCCGCTGTCGTCTTTTTCAGCTGAAGCGTATCCGCAGTGGTCTTTTTCAGCTGAAGCGTATCCCGCTGTCGTCTTTTTCAGCTGAAGCGTATCCCGCAGTGGTCTTTTTTTTTATTTGAAGCGTTTCCCGCAATGTTCTGTTTCAGCTGAAGCGTTTCGCGCAGTAGTCTTTTTTTTATTTGAAGCGTTTCCCGCAATGGTCTGTTTCAGCTGAAGCGTTTCCCGAT